GTCCCAGCCCTTGGTGACCCATGCTGCTTGCCGAGAAATGGGGTAATCCTGTTAGCCACACTGTGCAGTGAGGGCTGCTTAGCCTCTTTCCCTTTGCTGACCCAGAGCCCCCACGTCTCCGTTTGAATCCTTTCCCTTGGCACCGTGTTATTATCTCCTCTGGGCAACCTGGCTCCTCTCCCTGGGTCCAGTAATTAGCCCTCTCCATCTGATCTTTTTGTCTGTCCTTCTCTGCATGCAGTCTGCAGTCAGGACCCTGGGAAACTCTGCATCCCCGCCTTTGTAAACACCAAATCAAAAAGCCATCTGCATTTCTTGAGAAGCTTTTTTTACAAAGGAATATCACAGAAAATCAAACCATCCTGGCCTAGGCACATAGTTTCACTCGTTCAGCAAATATTCCCAGTGAGATCGCGGGTCTAGTTTTTATGGCCTCTGTTATCTACTGCCTGAAAGTTGGCATCTAAAATATTTATGATTCATGTGCACTGTACGAATGATCTCTGGGCTCTTCTTTCTGCCATTCATTCCAGGTTTCTGAGCACATTACACACAGCCACCCCAATGTATCTATCGTGCGTGGACTCATCAAAATTCTTTATTTCTGGTTAGTCTGGAAAAGTCGAGACAGGGAGGGAGTGCCTACAAATCTGATCATCATCTCAGATCATACGATTCTCTCTGTGCCCGAGTCCTGCCTACAGAGTACAGAGCAGGCCTATTCGAACAGTAAGGAATGCACCTTAGGGATCAGGGTGGGAGCAGGCAGCACAAAGTGCCCTAAAAAGATCGACCATTGCACTTGTCAGTGAGTAGATTCCACCCCTTGGGGACCCCGCATGCGCCGTGCGGGGCTGCTGCACTGCCGTTTCCACGGCTTTGAACTCTGGGAGCATTGGGCCGGGCCTGCCTTGGGATGCACCTCCGGGTGGGGTCAAGCCAACAAGCTTTTGGCTAGTAGTTAAGTGCAAACCCACTACTCCTCTTGGGAGTCTGGGGGATGGGTTGGGGGGAGGGGTGGGGAGGCAGGGGGAGGAATAAGAAGAAGAACAGATGCGAATTAGGACGTATAGCATGACATACTCCCCTTCGTCATTCCCCTCGACTGTTCCCCTAGCCCCAGCACTCTCTGCCGCGAATAGAGGAGGGCTTCTCTGACTTGTCTTGCAGATGAGAAAACTCGAAGCCAGAGAGGTTAAACAACTCACACAGGGCACACAGCCCGTGTTTGGCAGCTCAAGCCTAGAAGCTGGGTCCCCAGGCTGTCTCCCACCGTCCCCCCCCCCCCCCCTCCCCACATCATGTCAGGTCAACAGACATTGACTGGCGATGACAGACCCCGAGAGCATTCAAGCTGGGGTGGTGATCTTTTCAGCTTGTGTCAGTTCATTTTGTGGGGACAGGTTAAAATCGGTGTCACCCCCTCTCCCCCCGATTTGCCACAAAGAAGGGGCCAGCATGAAGGACAGGGTGGGCATTCTTTCCCTCCAGGCCGCTGTCTCTTCCTGCATGGAGAAGAACAACGTCTGTGCCCGAGCAGGGTTCATGTCCAAAACCCCAAGATGCGTGTTCACGCCCAGTGAAATGGGGCCTGCTCCAGGTAAGCAGCTGTGCTGGCCTCCTGCCTCGGCCTGCAGAGCTCATGGGGCGTGTGATTGGTAGGGCACCCGTCCCTTCTTAGGGAGTCTCTTTTGAGCCACGCTTTCGGGGAGCAGGTAGTGGAGGCCGGCTTTGAATAAAGAGAAGCGGTGTGAGGAGAAGACCAGCGCTCCTCGTTCAGGGCAGGCTCTGGAGATGGCCCCCACAGCAGTCTGTTGGCTTCCTCTGTCCACGGGGCACACCTGCTCTGGGCTTCTCCCCTCAGCTATGTGCAAACCCACACAGCTATGTGCAGACCCTTTGCAGGCTCCCCGGGGTAGAGAGGGAGAGCGTGGGGGGAGGAAGCCATGCAGCCAGACTGGGTGAGGCTTGGCTGCAGTTTCCCTGGGCTCCTACGTCTACAGCGACGTTATCACCTAGTCATAACATGCGGGTGCTCCCTCCATTTCCTGAGCTCAGTATCTTCCAGGCAGTCCGCACACTTCAGACTCAGCCCTGCTTTTCCGATGAGGACACTGAGGCACAGAGTCGAAACAACTTGCCCGCCATCACACAGCTAGTCACCAGCAGGCCTGAGCCCTGCCTGAGGTGTCTCACCAAAGAGCTTGCCACCCCCCACCCCCCCCATCATTGCATTGAGCCTTTGGAGCCCCCAGGTCTCAGGAGTACACAGGAGCTGGCCTGCAGGGCTTTCTCCCACTGGGCACACCCACAGGCAACCTCCTCGAGCCCCTACTGCCCCTGCCAGTCTGGGTGAAGTGTTTCTAGGGAGGTCTAGCTTGGCAGCAGCCTACCACCCGGAACACTTGCTGTGTCAAAAAAACAGAAGACCCTGGACAGCTGGTCCCAGCCCTTGGTGACCCATGCTGCTTGCCGAGTAGAACTGATCCGTGGGGTTTTCCAGTGGGGGAGAGTGTTTATGTGTGCCACCCGTAGAATCCCACTTCTTACCCTTCGGAAGTGGGTCACTGGCGACACTGTGGGCTAGCTACGGTTGCTAACTGCAGGCTGGCTGTTCAAACCTACCAGCTGCTCTGAGGCTGCCTGCTCTTGTAAAGGTTCACGGTCTCTGAACCCCTATATAGGATGGCTACGAGTCAGAATTGACTCCACGCAGCGGCTCCTGAGCAGAGGTGCGGAGCAACGGGTGGGCTTGCTCCAGCAGTCTCCCTCTTGGAGGGCATGTGGATTAATTGAAGCACACACCAGATTCCTGCAAATCCAGATTAAGCCTGGGAAGATCAATCTGAAATTGAATAACAAAACCAACCCTAATTAGCAAGCTCAGCCCCCTCAAAGCTCCTCTGTCTTGCATCACCCACTGGGCAGCCCCCCTCCCCCCTTGTTTGTTTATACAGGAGACAGCTTGGATCCCTGGGCTTGGCCAAGCCCCCTTCAGGGAATCTTGCTGAAGGGCAGGAGTGAGGGAGTCGGGGGGTGGGGGGGTTTTACAGCTGGCCACGCATGCCCACTCCCACCTGGGTGGGGCCCTGGTCCCCTTGTAACAAAGAGCAGGAGGGGAGAGGTGGAGCCTCACATCTGTTAAGCCCCTACTGTGTGCTAGGGAAGGCACCCTGGTAGCTTAGTGGGTTGAACGTGGGCTTCCAACCTCAAGGGCAGCAGCTTAGACCCACGAATCCCCCCTCAGAGAACAGAGGAAGCTGTCAGCTCCCATAAAGGTACCGTTCTCTCTGTGTGTGCACGTGCGCTCTGGGGACTTTATTTTCTTCAGCTATGTGTGCCTACACCGAACGCTCTCAAAATCCCATGGGCCTTCGGCCTGGCACGCAGTTACGCACTCAGAAATGTGAGGTGTTGTGATGAGTTTGATCCCATTTTACAGATGAGACAATTGATACCCAAGAGGCAATGAGTAGTCCCAGGACCTACGATAGGCTGGGAGTCGTGGCCCAGGAGCCTGCTGCTCTTTAGAGGCAGGCTCTCACCTGACCGCTCCTGTCCACAGTCTGGCGAAGAGTGTCCGGTGGAGCCACCGTCTGCATCCCGGCATCTCCGGGGCTGTGCTGTGGCCGGCCCTCTGCCACCGCCACCGCCCCCCTCAACCTGTATTCCTGAAACACAAACCTCACCTTACGAGTGCCCCCTTTATTTTCCCTCCAAAAAAGAGGATTGGAACATGAGGTGGGGGTGGGAATGCCTAGGGTGAATTGTCTGTTGAAACACGGGGTGCAAATCGCACCGCCAAGGTGAGCCTGATGCTGGAAACCATGCCCTGCAGGGAGCCTGGCCAGGCTTTCTCAGGTCAGGGACAGGACGGGCTTTTCCCCGTCGCCTGCTTTCAGTATTGTCCAAATTTTATCCTCTAAGGGCTGCCTTAACCTTAAAAGAAGGGGGAAGTTGGCATGTTCCATTTAGCGAAGGCAATGTGTGTAGCGAGGTCTTTTGACGGGATGAGAAAAGAAGGGAAAAGCCTCTGGCCCGCCGCCATTGAAAGCGCCGCCGCTTCCGGTGTCTGGCTCTCCTAGCCCCTTTCTGTCCGTCTGCCTCACAGACGATGAGAGCAAGGAACACATGGTTACAAAACCGTAGAATCCTCTGAGAAAGGAAAACGACAAGACGCGAAGCTGCTGTTTTCGGCTCCCCTCCGTCCTGGTCCACACAGTGCTGGTGGCAGGGCTTCCTCCCTCCCTCCCTCCCTCCCTGAAGCATCCTCGCTCTTCCATTGACACCACGTCCAGATGGCACGCTGGCACCCTCAGGGGACTCAAACCATGTTCCCTTTCGATGTTCTCTGAGCTTAGGGGACAAAACAATCACCTAAAGGGGCAGGATGAGAGCTATGGGTAAGGATTCCCAACACAATTCTTGTAGGACGGCCCTGGCCACCTCAAAGACTGAGCAGGTGCATTGTGGTGGAGGGCGGGGTGTTCCCTGGTACAACTTTTATAGCCTTTTTTTCACCAATGTAGTTTTCAATAATGAAAAAAAAAATCTTCCTAATAAACCTCCATTATCATCCTGTGTCCTTTGAGGAACTCTATCAAGACCCCTTTGGAGCACCCCAGCCCCCCCCGCCCCCCAAAAAACCAACTAAACAACAAAGAATGACCTTAGACTTCTGAGCTGACCTCCCTGCCTTAATCGAACTGGCTCCCCAGCCCCCCTTCGAAGGCACTGATTTACATGGACCCCCCTTTTTTAAGGTGCCCTAACAAGACAGAGGCAAGCGTCTTAGGGAGAAACCCTGTTTGCAGCCGGGTCCTGGCAGGCAGGGACATGAGCGCGTGTTGGGTCTGGAATAAACCAGTGTGTGAACTGGGACCCGGCGCCCTGGCTTTTACTTTGTTACTTGTGTTGGAGCTGCGGCTTGTGGCTCCTCTTCGTGGGGACAGCTTCCTGTTCTGCTCCACTCTGCACGTCTCCGTGGAGAGAAGACAGCGGAGTGACTTTTGCTTAGTGCTGCCAACTCGCCCTCCCGCCCCCTGCCCCCACTTACAGGGCTCCCACAGTTTAGGGGTGAAACTGTTCTTCAGCCCGGCTCCTTGGTGCTCTGTGCGTGTGCAGCCACTTTAGTTCGATTCTGCCACCATCTCCTGAGACGGGGCCTTGCGGCGTGGTGGGGGAACACGCAAGCAAGGGCTCAGGGGACAGGCAGCCCTGCTCCACAGAGCAGAGCCGGTGCTCAGTAAGCACATGCGGGTTATATCCCATTGATTGAGCACGTACTTAACATCCCATTCGATGGTCACAATAACAATGTCATTCTGAGAACTGTTATCCACATTGTGAGAGGAGGAAGCTGGGCAAGGGCCAGCGATGTTGAAGTGTTATTTAGCATCTCTGAGTCTCCATCTCTTTGTGTGCAGAATGGAGATGCTAATACCCATTCTGGTGGGCTGCTAGGCGGTTTAATGAGCCTGTATGTGGTGCACGAGGCTTGTGTCTTCTTAGACATTGTCTAAGGCATTGTCTGTAGTTCCAGCAGCCTTCCGTCTGACTGTCTTGGAACAATGCTGGCTCAGTATCTTTCTGAAGCATGTTCTCAGGGATGAGGTTCTGCTTTTTATTTATAGGACTCGCGCCTGATTCTATCCTAACGTTTCTTTCTGCTTTAGGGCATTATAACATCAACGAAGCCCTCGTGAGGCAGTCGCCAAAGGTAATGATGTCTAGTTTTAAGTCAAAAACTGACCGTGGACTCAAGCTGAGGTCAGCAGGCCCAGGACCTGGTTCCTACAACCCAAACGACCGCATCAAAGTTCCGAAAAAGACGCTGATCCCGTGAGTCCCGATCCTTCTGGTCTTTCTTCTGAAAGGTGGTTCTGAGGAAGGGTCCCAGCAGGAGCAGCAAAGTGGCGTGGGGGCAGTCACCACACGGCCACTCTCCCGGGGCCCTTGTGGACGTTGAGCGCCAGAATCATTGCGCATCCGCGGTGTGCCATAAACCCGAACTCTTATTTATCACAACAACTCCTCTGTGGTTTAGTCTCACTTGCTGGTAGATCGAGCGGGGCTTGACTGAGGCAGGGAGATTGAGGAGAATAGGGCTCAGGACTGTCTTGACTCTCTCCCCATCCCTCATAATGCTGTATTGTCCTGGCACGAAAGTATTATATTTTTATAAAACAAAATGGTCACTGGCGGCAGGGCACACAGAAACAGGGGAAGTCTCATAATTTCTGTACAGAAAGAGGTTAAACGCCTACACTTTGGAGTTGGTCAGATTTGAACTTATCTCTGCTGCTTTCCTGCTGCATGATTGTGGGCAGCGTACTAAACTCTCTGAGCCTCTGTACCTTCATCTGTCTAGTGGAACTAATACAGGCCTCATAGAATTACTTTCCGATCTAAAAATATATTTCTGACATGTATCCACAGCCTTCCAGTCAGTTCTGACTCACAGCGATCCTGTAGAACCAAGTAGATTGCTCCTTAGGCTGTTTGAGGAGCAGACAGCCTAATCTTTCTCCCTTGAGACACCTAGTGAGTTTGAACTACTGACCTTAAAGTTAGCAGCCCAACTCTTAAGCCACTGTGCTACTAGAACTCCTTCTATCTGGCACGTAGCAGATGCACACAGCGATTTAACATTAGAACAAATTTAAAAAGTGGAGACAGGAATTTGTAATAGCATTTTTTCATAGCTCTTACATTTGACGGTGCTGTCCCGAAAACAGCGATCTGGTTGGGAAGGAGGCTGGCCAGCATGCTTCTCAGGAGCAGACACGATGAGACCATGTCTCACTTGCTTTGGCGTGTCAGGAGAGGGGGTGCCTGGGAAAGGACGTCACGCTTGGTCACGTCGAAGGGCAGTGAAAAAGAGGAAGCCCCTCTACGAGACAGATGGACACCGTGGCCGCAGCAGTGGGCTCAGATGTACAACCGTGAGGGTGCCACAGGACCGGGTGTCTCGCTCGGCTGTGCAGAGGGCTGCTATGTGTTGGACCAATGAAACAGCAGCAGCACCACCACATGTTTAATTTACTTTCATCGGAGATGCTCCTAACGCCTCGTGCTTACTTATTCCTCAAATGGCTAAGAAGGGAACCTTTGGGGACTTCTAGAATTAACTTCCTTCAAAGAAGCCTGAAATTAGAGACCCTCTCTAGATGTGACATAATGAGTCTCCACAGGTCAGACTACTGGTGGGATAGGATCAAGGACATCAGACCCGAAGAAAGAAAGAGGTCACTGAAAGGACAGGACAGAAGACCGATGTCAGAGGGACTGTGAGACTTGAGCCCAGAACGGCTAACGCGAGTGGAAAAGGAGAAAGCCCAGGAACTCCCGACTTCAGAAGGCGGCTGAAGAAGACACGGCGCTCGAATGACGTCTGCAGAGTCCTGCAGTCAGGAAACCCGAAGGGAACATGCTCGGCACAGCTGACAAAACTGAGGGATGTAAGCCCTGAGCTGCAATTCGAAGGGTTCTAGGGGTCATACATCAAATCCACCAAGAGGCATTAAAAGAAGATAGAGGAGCCCCTAAAAAAACGATTAAAAAGAAGAAGAAGAAACCCAGTCAGTGTGCCAAAAACATCAGTCTCCTCTCAACCATTCTGGGAGGTAGCATGTGGTCAAGACTTTATTGTATGACAAAACTATAATAATTCATGAATTATGAAGGGTTCATAAGGGAGGGGGAGGGGGAGGGAGGGGAAAACGAGCAACTGACATTAAGGGCTAAAGTAGAAAGCAAATGTTTTGAGAATGATGAGGGCAACAAATGTGCATATGTGCTTGACACGATGGATGGATGTATGGACTGTCATAAGAATTGTACGAGCCCCCAATAAAATAATTAAAAAAAAAAGAATTTATTGTACTGAAGGAAGAAGGGCAAGATTCACTGAAAGGCTTGCCAAAAAACAAGACATCGTGAGATGATGGAATACCAGTTGAGTTGTTTTAACAAACAATACAATACTGGAAGCACTGTCTATTCCAGGAAATTTGGAAGACAGCTCCCTGGCTAATCGAATGGAAGAGACCCATAGTTACGCTTACTTCAAAGAAGAGTAATAAAAAAAATAGAAATTATCTAACAATGTCATTAATTGCTGTTGTTAGTTGTCACCAAGTCGGTTCTGACCCATAGCAACCCTCTGCACAGCAGAAAGAAGTCTCAATAACATCACAAGCAAGTGTGCTGACGTGCATCAACCGTGAACTGCTGTACATTGAGTCATACGAGGCCATGACATTAGGGTTATCATTATTGGTGTCCGATGGCTCTTGGCTGAAAGCAGAGAGCACAGAAAGATGTTTACTGTGTTTTATCGACTACACAAAGGATGGATGTCACTGTGAAGAATGGGAATGCCAGGACCTTAGACGTGTTCATGAGGAACTATACAGAGCAGCAGGCAGTCTTTCATAAAAAAGATGGAGTTGACACAGTGTGGGAATTGCGCCCGATCGGACCCCACCACACGGAGGCAAAACACCAAGGGCGTGCAACAGAACAGCAAGGGGAGCAGAGCAAGGAAGTCCCAAGGGAATACCAAAA